TTTTTTGTCTTTTTCTCCAGTTCTTTAAGGAAATTTTTCACTTATTCTTCAAGGGTCTCTGTTATCTTCATAAAGTTACATTTAAGGTCATTTTCTTCTGCTTTTTCTAGGTTAGGATGATCAGGTCTTCCTTCATGTTGTATGACTACAGGGTTCTGGTGTTACCAGGTTCCTTTTTAGGCTGTTGAATATATTCTTACATTGGCGCCTACCCCTCTCTTCCTCCAATTGGTGCTGACAGTGTCTTTGCCTCTTGGTCCAATTCTTGCAGCTGCTGTCTGTGTCTCAGGGATCCTCTCTTGGACCGATTATTACAGTTGCTGTCTGTGTCTCAGGGATCCTCTCTTGGACCGATTATTACAGTTGCTGTCTGTGTCTAAGGGATCCTCTCTTGAACCGATTATTACAATTGCTGTCTGTGTCTCAGGGAGGTGCTGAGGTCTCCAGGGACAGGTGGGTGTGGTGGTGGAGTGGGACTTGCAGATAAATAACGGGGTATGATGGATGGGGAGGGTGTTGGAGCAGCCTGCCTGCAGGTGGCTTGCCTGATGGCTAGTGAAGCTGAGGCAGTTTGGGGAGCAGCCAGGGTTTTGCCCAGGGGCCTAGGGCCTAGAGATTGTACTGTCGAGCTCGGGAGTGGATCTCTCACCTCTTGGTCAGCTATGTGTAGTCACAATCTACTTCAGAGATGCTCTGAGGTTGCAGAGAGATGGGTGGGTTTGGGACTTTTAGGTTATAGGGTCCCATTGATGGTGGGGTGGGGTTGGAGCAGTCTAACTGCAGGAGGCTTGCTTGCAGGCCAGCTAGTAAAGCTGAGCAAAATGCTGAAATTTTAAGTTAGACAATTTTTATTTGTAAATTTGATATACAAAAGAATAGTTTTAGTAGTTACTTGTAGAAGAGTTAAAGTATTTGACATATTAGCTACAGGATTAAAAAAAGTCTTCAACATCTTAATGTGTGTACAGACTGGTCGTATTACTTAAAAAAGTCTTCAACATCTTAATGTGTGTACAGACTGGTCGTATTACTTACTTTTCTATTGCTGTGACAAAACCATGACCAAGGCAAGCTATAACATAAAAGGGTTTAATTGGGCTTACAATTCCAGAAGGTTAGAATATATGATGGGGAAGCAAAGACGTGGAAGCAGGAAAGCTACGAGCTCACATCTTAATCCACAGGCAGGAGGCAAAAAAAGCTAACTCAAAATGGCATTGAGTCTTTTGAATCCTTAGAGCCTGCCCCCAGTGACATACTTCCTCCAGCAAAGGCACAAATGTTATTGCTTCCCAACAGCTACCAACTTGAGACCAAGTATTCACACATACGAACCTTTGATGCCATTCTCATTCAAACCACAAGAGGGTTCAAGATTTTAGGACTTGAATTGCTGAAAGGTAGATCAATAGAAAATGTAGTAAGTAATTTTGTGTGGAAAGAGAGGTGAAATGTGAACATTTGATTGGCAGCTATATTTTAATATCCCTTTCACCCTTGTGAAGGTTTCACTGTGTAGTTCAGGATGACCTTGAACACATGATGTTCTTGCCTAAGCCTTATAGGCATGCACCACCATTTCCACCTGTTGTGCTGAAACAGAATTTAAAAACATGTTCATCACAGCTGACTTGGAAGAATCAGTGGTACATTATAGTAATAGGATGCTTACATTGATACAGTTGCTGAGTGGGTAGGGATGCTGTGTACTTGCTCACTGATATTCGCCTGAGATACAATTTTTAAAAGATATACTATGGCAAAGAGAAATTTAATGCCAATGGAAAGATATATTGGCTGCAAAATGTTGAAAAAATGTCTGACAGATAAAAATAGGTCTCAAACTTTATGTTTGTAATCATGAATCTTGTATATTGAACCTATGTTGCTTGGAATATGTGGTATAAAGTACAGTTGTAATATATGTTAAGAATAGATAATATTCATTAAGCATCCTATCACACACTGGAATAAACATTAAATTTCAGTAGACACTATTAAGATATATAACATGCATGTCAGGTACTTTATTAAGAAATTACTTATTTTTCCTTATTCAAGATAAAAATGCACACTGACAGCTGTCAAAGTTTTAAAGAAGTTTTAACAAAATAGATCAATAGATGCTTTTCAATAGAATTGAAAGCTATCACTGCCTGTTTCTCTAGATAACTTTTTCTATATGGAAGTCAGGTAGTCAGTTGACAAGTGAAAGTATTGTTTGAGACCGAAAAGTCCGACAATAGTGAACTAGAATAAGAGGAAATCTAGGCCAGGCCTGGTGGTGCATGCCTTTAATTCCAGCACTTGGGAGGCAGAGCCAGCCTGGTCTACATAGTGAGTTCCAGAATAACCACAGCTACATCGTAAGGCACTATCTCAAGCAAACAAATAGACAACTGAAACCAAAAGAGTAGAAAGATCAAATTTTTCACAGTTCACTCAGGGGCCATTTAGGTGACTAATGAGTGAAAGTGCCCACTGTGAAAGCCGGCAGCGTGGGCTTCAGCTCCTATGGAAGTGAAGAAAAACCAACTTCATGGCGTTGTCCTCTGGTCAGTGAATGGCATGGCAAGCACATACATTGCTCACTCACTCTTATACACACACTCACACACAGTCTTTAGGCAGACAAGTTGGCATATGCTTATAATCCCAACAGACCAAAGGCTGAGGTAGGATTGAATTTCAGGTCAGCCCCACTAAACATCAAGACCATGCCTCAAAAGCAAAACCAAGCCAAACCAAGCCCGACAGAATAGTTTCTTTTCTAAGTGCAGTGTTTATGCTCATGCTTTTGTTAATGTCTAGCTATTATTTCTACCATGAGGCATAAGAGCCTGAGTCTGTGTATGCAATTAGGGCAGAGTGAAGTAGAACATTTTTAAATTGGGTCTGAGAGCTGTAAAGAGAATTATTCTCAACACAGTATGTCAGAGTGATGGTTCTCATGTTAGAGACTTCAAACCCCACCTTCTGCTTTTGGTGCTATTTACTTTTTTCATTTCTTCCCAGCCTAATGACAATGAATATTCTTTTCCTGCCTTCCTGTAAATATTTATGATGTTGATGATATAGCACAGGTATTAATGTATTTTCTAGCCCAACTCCCCAACCCCCATCCCTCCACCCCCAGCAGGGTTTCTCTGTGTAGCCCTTGCAGTCATTTGTAGAATAGGTTGTAGAATAGGCTGGCTTTGAACTCAGATCTGCGCCCCCCCCTCATGCTGGGATTAAACATGTGTGTTCCACCACTGCTTGGCTTGGCTTCACTTCTAACTGAAGGCCTAGAAAGGCACAAACAAATTCAGAGTTAATTCCTTTTGATATTTTGGACCCTAATTGATTTGTTTGTAAAATGGTAATTGAATTGACCTGATTTGGAGTCATTATCAATCTTGTCATTATATTGGTGGGAACAGACGTAGAGCTGTCAAAATTAACTTGAACATCTTTATATAAACATGCTAATCTCTGTCTCTTGGAGAAAAGATGCTGGGTAGTGAAAAGGCTAGGTTCTGTACTTTCAAGTACACTGTAGTATTGTGTGCTTTAGAGAGATCGAGATTTCCGTTTGTAAATGGCTGCAAATGATAGAAACAAGCTTAAAGGAGTTCTTAAAAACTGAGACTATGTCCCCTATGTAAACTGCATATCATATCATATTATTAGATATTACTAAATGCTAGTAACCTTCATAGTACCAGATATGCGACATACTGCCTGGAAAACGAAAAATCTTAAATATTAGAAAATACTTAAATGTTATCTAAGTAAATTGCTAAGGGGCTAATTAATAAACATTAATAAGCATAAAAATTATTAATTAATAAAGAGCAACTTTATTTTTCATGTGAAATATTTCTGTATTAGTTGAGAAGCTTTGTTGCTTTTTTGTTTTTGAGACAAGGGCTCACTCTCTAAGCCCAGGCTGGCCCTGAACTTGTGGAACCTCCTATTTAAGCTTCCAGAGTATTCGGTTATTGGGTCATAGGTATGAGCCATTGTGCCTGGCTTATTCTTCTGAGACAAGGCTGGCCTTGAACTCAGGGTACTCTTCCTTTTTAACTTCCCAAGTGCTAGGAAAATAGGAGTGAGCCCCACCTCACTGGATATGTGATAGTTCTTAGTAAGCCGCACAGGAGACTCACCCTGAAACTGAAAGTCTTTTAGTGTTGATTTTAGAGACCTTATATTAAAGAAATCATCCAATTAGCTTAAATCAAGGCTAATTTTATAAGTCAATAATTTAAAAATTAGCTTCCTTGTTAAGTAGCTACATAAATAGGTGACAAAATGTACATAGTATAATCAGGAAATGACACTTATTTGAGAAATTATAATTGTAAAACCTGTTTCAAACACCATTTTCAGTATGTTTCCACTAATTGGTAATTATCAGAAAACCTTTTCTTTCCAGTTTCATTATGAGATAAATACAAAGTAAATGACATTATCATTAGTGGATGTGATTTACATAATTCGTGCTAGATTTTTTTCTTTCTAATAAAATGCCTTTTCCCTCAAAAGGAGAAGATAACACATTATAATTCCAAGGAAAATTTTATGTTAACAAACTCAATTTCTTTTGGCCTAAATTTGACTTTCATTTAATCTGAAATAATAAGGAAATTAACAATCAGTGCTGGAACCATATATCTATACCATATATTTCTAATAATGTTATTTTAAGCATATAAACTATAAACCATAGTTATTCTGATAAAAACAGGAAGTGACTTGAAACCTGTATTTCTAATGAACAAATGTTCATATGTCATTTGGTTAGAAAATCACTTGTATAACTTCAACTCCTTCTTCCTCTGTATGCAAATCTTCTGAACATGTTTTAGAACACTTGTAAATAAACAGTAAATTTAGATGATACTCTAATTATAACAGTGAATACTAAGGTCTTCAAGTAAGAATGTCCAAATCATACTGCTCTCTTGTACTGAAGTTATTTTCTGAGGGCTAAAAGCTCTGCCTGTTGGAGGAGCTTTGTGCTACTGAGGGTCTATTTGCCTTCTAAACGTTCCTTTACTAATTTCTCCAGAGAGAAGAGATGCTCGTCTGCATCTTCTGGCACAAGTTTCCTAATGGAATTGGCAAGTTCAAAAAGATATTCTGTATTTTTTCCACTTGGACCAGCTGCATTAAAAATTTGTTCAGCTATGTCTTCCAGAGGCGCAGGACCAAGGTAGTTAGGATTGTCACACGTTCCAATGTAGAGCAAAACACTGAATGGTTTTCTTGTAGGATCTTTTGGATAAAAAATGACTGTTGTAGTTCTGTAGCCTCCTTTCTCTCTAAAGTCCAGGTATGTTTTTACTTCCTCTTCTTTTCCTACTGGTAGCTTGTAAGCAACACCCCATACACTGCCCTGTTGAAAAATGAAAAAAATCACTGTTTTGTATTTATAAGGCTATCAAAGTAGGGGAAGATACATTATGACCTAGGATATTTTGTAGTCTTAGAAGTCAATGGAACTTTGTTTCCAAGTGCCTCAAAGGGGTAGATGGCAAACAGTTAAGGAAAACAGCATTTAAAACCTTTATTCTGACTAAGTAATTGACTTATATCAAGCAAAGAATGATAGGTCTATTCCATCAAATTTGTACATAAGGTCTTATTTTTAAGCTAATACCAAGTGTTTGCTGGTCATTAAGAAATTCTGTGGAAGCAAAGTGCCATTTGTTGTCTAGAAGTTACAGTTATTGGTTTGAGGATAAGGGACTTTTAGATGCCTCTCCCACTATAAATCTCTAGAAGGTTTTAAGTACAGACTATATGTAGAGTTACTAATGGTTTTTATTATTACTATTATTATTTTAATTTTCAGATAAGGACTAGCTTTTTGAACAAGGCTGGCCTTGAACTTTGGTCCTTCTGCCTTGCCTGGCAGGTGATACTCCTGATGCTGCTTGAGTTTAGTTTCGTATAAATTTCTTCCCAAGTTTAAAGTGTAAAGAAAGTGGGCACCGTCCATTAAAGTTTTGAGTACTTCAAATTCGTCTGATAATAACAAGTGTTGTTTATAAAATCAGTTAAGAAATTTTTAGGGTTTTTTTTTTTTGGTTGTTGTTGAAAAATAATTGATTCCAGGCAAATTTCAACAGAACTATAAGAATTCTAATTAATTCTTAGTCATAACCTAGCTGTGGGGAGCCTGTTCCCTTTAATATGAAAGAGGATCACAAAATCCTCAGTCACCATACTCACTTAGAAGAGTTAAAAAGGAGATTACATATCACTTGGCTGTATTTTGTTGTTACTGTACTTCTGATTTTAACTTTCTTTCTAGACTCACTTTACACAAACACTGAAAATAGAAAAAACCCTCTACAAATACAAGGAAGCAGCCAGTGGTGGCGCACACCCTTAATCCCAGCACTTGGGGTGCAAAGGCGGGTGGATCTCTTTGAGTTCAAGGCCAACCTGGTCTACAAACTGAGTTCCAGGACAGCGAGGGCTACACAGATAAACCCTGGCTCTAAAAACCAAAACAACCAAATAAATCAATAAATAAACCAAAAAGATAGAAAAACAAAATCAAAAAACAAAACCAAACAAGCTAACAAACAACCCCCCCCCAAGCCAAACAAACAAAAACCAAAAAGCAAATACAGAAAAGAATTCTACACTTAGTTTAATACAAATTTTTTGTGATGACCAATAAAATCTCACTGATTATTAAAATGCAGAAAGCTCATATTTTATTTAATACTATGTAAAAAATAAGCATACCATACCCCAGGATCTTCAACAAGAGTCACAACTCTTCCAGGCTGTTTTGAAAAAGGTAGAAAATATTTTTTTTCTGAATTAAAGTTCATTAAATTACTAAACATTAGCAACTAGTCATAGAATAAAGTTTTACTATACCTATTGTAAGAAGGATTTTACTTAGGGAATGAATTAAAGCATTGCTGGGCCACACCCCTACCAGATCTGATTCTTTAGGTCTGGAACGGAATAATAGGTATTTGTAATAGCATGCTTAGTGAAACTATTGGTTGATGCTTTCAGAAACACTACTAGGCGATATTTGGGTCTCAGGTATGAGTGAATGAGTGAATTTCTCCTGTAGCTATGAGGTACCTTTACCTTTGTATTTATGCTAAAGGGTGCTTCAAGGTAGCTGTTTTTAGACCTTCATAAGTGAATGTACACTGAGTCACTGATAGGCTAATACCAGAACTGACATTGTTTTTATCTATGTTTTTATTTTTGAGACTAGGTCTCATATAGCCCAGAGTGGTCTGAAACTTGCTTTGTAGCTAAGGCTTGCTTTCAACTCCGGATTCTCCTGCTTCTTTCGGTGAAGTGCTAGGACTATAGATATGCACCACCATGCCTGGCTGAGAATTGGTCTATTTTTCTTTTAAGCTGTTCTTATATGAGACAAACTTTATCTGTTAGGACTAGGCAATACTAAGTGCATTTTAACTAATTAACTTTAATTAATCAATTATTCTTTTGAGATAGTTTTCAGTCTGTAGCCTGGGCTGGCCTAGAACTCACTATATACCCAGGCTTGCCTTGAATTCCTGGTGATCTTTCTGTCTCACTGTTCCCAGACTGCTGCTTGTAGCATTCCATGTAAGAGAGATGATTCAAAAAATGATTGAATATGGCATGGAGTCAGATTTGTAGAGCCAGAGAGCAGAGTTTGGGGAATGGAGAGCTCGTGGTGTTGGCAGCAGAAGTAGATACTTGCCTATTTGGGGCCTTGGGCTGTTTAAAAAAAGGCAGAACTTCAGTTAGTGGAAGAGTGAAAACAAGAAGCCGCTGAGATGTGGGAGAAATTAGAAACTGAAACCTGTAGCACTTGGGTGGCAGGTGACTGGCAGAATAGAAGTATTTGGGAATATTAGGTTGGCAAAGTGTATGGGATGGAAGGAGGAAGAAATGGAGTGCAGAATGAGACATGCCTGCAGAACTCCCCTACCGCCCAGCTTATCCAGTTCTTGATGGTTTTGTCTTTTAAGATGATGTGTATGTCCACTACTCCCCACTCTAAATAAGTAAATATTTTAAAAACTATATGCCTGTTTCTGTGTTTGGGGAGTGCCTGTGAGCTCAGAAGATCCTCTGGGATCTGGAGTTAGAACTGTATGCTACTCACTGTGCGTGCTAGGAACTGGACTTGGTTCTCTGCAAGCTCTAACTTCAGAGTTAGTTCACCGCAGTTTGACTCTTTTTTGTCACTCAGTTGTCTAAGAGATTTCTCTGCTTGCCTCTTATTTTGCTTTCTCTTATTCCATTGAAAGCCTAGAATAGCTTTGTGGCTTTAAATCTTTCAAGATATTTTACAGAATAAAACCAAAAACGCTTTGCTAAAGTACAAACACCATTCCTTTCCACCTTCCCCTCCAAGTTTCAGCATTTTTTGGAAAATAGTATATGTTTGTAAATGCTTTCTTTGATAAGAGAGCAATGAAACGGAAGAAAGGGGTCTTTTTTTTAATGTAAAAGTTTTTTCATTTTACATACCAATCATAGTCACCCCCCTCCCCATTCATTCTGCAGAAAGGGTAAGGCCTCCCATAGGGAGTCAACAAAGTCTGACATATCAGGTGAGGCAAGACCAAGCCACTCCTACATCTAGGCTGAGCAAGGTATTACTCCATAGGAAATGGGCTCCAAAGCCAGTTCATGCACTAGGGATAAATCCTGGTCCCACTGCCAGTGGCCCTAGGGCCTGCCAAAGCCACAGAACTGTCCACTACATTGAGAGTGCCTCGATTGGTCCTATGCAGCAGGTTCCCCAGCTGTCAGCCCAGAGTCAGTGAGCTCCCATTAGCTCAGGTCAGCTGTTTCTGTTGGTTTCCTGAAAGAGGGTTTTTTTTTTTTTTTTAAATACAGGGTCTTGCATAGCCTAGCCTAGCCTGGTATTTACTATGTAGCCGAGGATGATCTAGAATTAACTTCTGATCTTCCTGCTTCTATCTCTTGAATATAGGAGTAAGGTTGTCCCACACCCCAGTTTATGTAGCAGTAGGGATTAGTATGAACTGAGCTACAAGGTGCGCCCCTCTTTCCCTGTCTTCATTTTTGAGACAAGCCAGGATCTTGCTGTGTCTCCCAGGTTGGCCCCAAAGTGACAATCCTCTTGTCTCAGCCTCCTCAGTTTAGTGATTACAACTGTGCATCACCATAAGTCAAGAAGAGGTCTTTCAAGCTGAATGTGATTTGAAGATGCTTTATTAATAAGTCATGATTTGTGTTTTGACTTATTTGGGTGATAAGGAATACTTTTAATCTAGAAAAGCTAAGGATTTAGTAAATGTTCACAGTTTTCTCATTAAAATGATCCCTTTGCCAGTTGTGGTGGTTTACACTTGTACTCAGAGGATTTTGGAGATAGAGGCAGGAGTCTCAGAAATTCATGGTCATGTTCGCTATACAGCAAATTCAAAACCAGCCTGGGCTATATAGGATCCTGTATCAAGCAAAACAAGATAAAACAAGCTTCCTGCTTTGTAGTTATGATATATTTTGGAGAAAATCTCTCTTTAAGTCAAATTTTTACTTTGTTGAGAAATAATCAGTTTTGTGATAAATATATACTTAAGTAAATTAGGAACCAGGTATGGTGGCACAGGCCTTTAATCCCAGCTATCTAAGAAGCAGAGGAAGTTGAATCTCTTGGATTTGAAGTCAGCTTGATCTACATAGTGACTTCCAGGCCAACCAGGAATACATAGTTAGACTGTCTCTAAAAGCAAGCAAACAAAAACTTAGAAAGAAATCCAACATACTATTTTCTCTGCTGTATTATGTGGAAGTAAACCTTATATCTCTGTTGCCTTCTTGTAAGTACCTGAGTAATACCCGAGCTGGTCTAAGTTGCTGAATAGTTCTGTCGCTGATTGTATTCTTGTCCAGATGGTTAGTATTTAGATAAATGTAAAAAAAAAAAAAAGTGAAGTCAAGGTATCATATTTTTGTCTAGTTCTTTAACATAATACTATACTTGGAACATATCTATACTAAATATTTCCTTTAATTTTCTAGGATGGATTTTTTCTTTTAATAAAAGATATAAAACTCTTAGTTGATGCAGCTCCCTGCCCTAGGTTTCTTTTCTGAAGTCTCAGTAAGTTTAAGTGCAAAGAAACAGCGGCTTTTATCGATCTCTTCTCCCCTTTCTATTTTTGTAGATTTATTTACTTTATGTGTGTGCACTGTGCCACAGCTTGTATGTGGAGATCAGAGGGCACCTCGTAGGAGGCATTTCTGTCTTTTACTTGATGAGCCATATCACTGGCCTTATTTATTAAAATGTATCATCTCCTTTTAAAGTTTGATAGCCCCCCCCCCCCCCCAAGACAGGGTCTCACTATGTAGCTCTGGCTGTTCTAAAACTCACTATGTAGACCAGGCTGCCCTCAAACTCACAGAGAACCACTTGCTTCTTTCTCCTAAGTGCTGGGATTAATGGCATGCATCAATCTATACCTGATCTCTAGCCTTACTTTTTAAAGTGATACATAGAGCATAACAACATGAACTTTTAAAGAACTAGTGTATTGATTAGACAATTTTTTACCAGCAGTCTGCCTGGCAATACACATACCTTGATGTGTTATGTAAGAAACATATATTTTGGTTAATCTTAAGTAGTAAAATATTCAGTCATAACCACATACATGCCTGCTTAATGCTTGGCCATTAAAATGAAAACCTACCTTAAGGTTTATATATATCAAAATTGATACCCAAAAGGCATTTTCTTTGGTTTAATTCTTTAATGCCTTGAATAGTTTTATGATAGTTTTGGAAAGTCTTTGGTTATGATGTTTCTGTTGGCCTGTAAATAAACATTTGCTCTCTTTCTGGGTTCCAGTAGGCCAGGAAAGTCTAATTGACAAACTTGAGTTAGGTGGCTCTAACTCAAGATGTTTTTCATGATTTCAAGTCTGTGTCTTTTGGGTAGGTACATACTATTTCAGAACCTTGATCTTTCCCTTTTCAAGAATCTCTTCTGATGACTGGCTTTTGGCATTTCAGAATATTGTACTTTAGATTATTTTTTAAAATGGTGCTGAACTCAGAGCCTGACAGGTGCTAGGCAAGGGCTCTACTACTAAGCTATAGCCCCAGTCACTTTATAATTTCTGAGTTTGAGGGCCAGGTCTTAAATTTGTGATCCTCTTTGAGATTACAGACTTATACCAGCAGAGTAAGTGAATTTTAAGAGTATTTTAGAGAACATAGAAGCATTAAAAATGTAGTCCTCCAAAGGTTAGAAGTTAACCAAACAAGTTACTAGTTACTTCATACTTGTTTTCTTTTTTCTTTCATAAATTAGTTGTTTACAGCCAATGCAAAGCTGGTTTGATAAAAATGAGCTGCTTCTAGTTCTCTGAACCCATATTGACAAACTGAAAAACAGATAAAACGATTTGTATTTCACATTAATAATCCAAGAAAAGAAATTTATTAATAATTTATTAATAATCCAAGAAAATTACTTTAATGGAGGAGGAACCATTAAAGTAATGTAGATTTTGCATTGTATTACTCATAGCAAATTGCAAACCTCACATAACTTTGCTTAATCACCGTGGGCATAAAAATTGGAAATAACCTTGGAAATTAGTTCTTTTATAATCTTTGTGTTTTTAAATAAAAACATTGGAAAGATAAACCCTAGACATTCACAGGCTCACATAAATTCAAACCAGTAAAAGCCTGGCATAATGCAGACATATCAACGAATTTGCATGTTATGAAAATGAATCTTTATTAATTTTTGTGGTTAGACAGAGGTTGCCAAGACAAGGGCCACTGCAGCCTTGTGTGAGCTTGTGGGCCTATGCCCGTGCCTTCTGCCTAAGAAACTAACGGCAGGCTTCTGAAGCGACTTCAGGGTGCCCACGCTCCGGAGAGAGTCGTGGGCAGGTGGTCTAGGAGGTTGCCCAATAGGTGGGCAATCGGCGCTGGCTGCTTACCTTGCCGGGAACCCCGCGGTGGTCAGTGCTGCCTTGCCAGAAGCGCCGGCTGTAGTTTGTGATGTAACCAACCAACTTGTCCTGGTAGGGGAAGTCCACCTTCCAGATGAGGGACCCGTAACCAAACACCCACATTTTTCTGAACCCTGGCTGGTACCACAGCGTGAGAGCAGGACTGCTGCTGACGCAAGTAACCGGCTGCTCGAGCCAGCGCAGGCGCGCTGGCCACGAGTGAAGCGCAAAGCACACTGGGGTTGCAGTCTCCCGGATCCTTTTCAAAGCTTCTGTGAACCCACAGATCTTTTCTGCAACCTAGGAAAATCGAGGGGCGGGGCGGGTTGGGAGAACTACATTACCCACAACTCTTCAGAGACTAGTGACACTAAGGTTGGAGCTGCCCCCCCCCCTTTTTTTTTTCCCTCTAAGAGAGTGGGTAAAAGAGAAAAGGCGTGACTGGTGCTGTCTTACAGGACACACTTACGGGCACCACACCTGGCACGTAGGCGCACGTAGGCATTTTGTTGTGACTTGAAAATTGGCAAACTGCCCACATATAACAGCTACCTGAGTAGCAGAACCCGCAAGGGTAATTCGTATAAGAAGCAGAAATTTTATAGCAGTAGTTTTATGCCGGTGAAAGAGCAACTAGATTCTAGTGGAAGCTGCTTATGTATCAAATTGCCAAGAACAGTCGTGTTCATATTTAACGTTCTCTGCATCTCCGAGAAGAGCAGTTGTGCTGTCCTGTTACTTAAACTCCACCATTGGTCTTTACAATGCAGTGTAAAGTCCCTTTCTCAGATGAATGGGTACTGTTTTGTTTGATAATGGGGAACTTGGAGGATGATGTACATTGTTTACTGTACTTAACTTGGATTGTTGAGTAGGGTCGTTGTATCTAGATTCAAATGCTTAAGGTTTTTCTTTGTGTGTGTGGGGGGGGGTTTGTTTTCTTGTTGTTGTTGTTGTTTTGCCTCCCGTTCCAGGTAGCTTTATTCTTGCAGAACTATAGCAAGGCATCTTAAATTTTTTTTTTTAAAAGCTCTAGTAGGAAAATCTGTAGAATCCCAGGTGACTATTGGACTATTGGAAAACCTGTACTCATTGTTTTCCTTTGCGCTGTGTACTTTGTATTTTTTAGATTATAATGTGTCATGTATTTAACTTGCTCAAACATTGAAAATTAAGTGATGCACACATAAACACTCACACTCCACACCCGAAAGACCAGAATGAGTTTTGTTTTATGACTTTCGTTGACATCTCATTGAAAAACAAGGTAATGTTGCCATAACTGATGTTACAGTGACTTAAATAGTAAGGAAACAAAACAACTCTCTTAAACCATAGGGGTTTTTAAAGCATATATTCCAGGCAAAGGTTCTTAACATTGAACTCATATACATGTCTTTAGAAGCTTAGAAAATTATTAAAAATTGCAACATCAAATATCCTATATCCAAATTTCCATAATTATCTCGAAAGTGTTCTGGAGTCGCTAGAGCATAGGTAGTTGTTGTGACAGGATATGTCTTTCGAAGAGTTCATGTCAGAGTTGCCATTAGAGGTGGAAAGGCTGCTGCTCTTACTGCAGATATTTCCTAGACTACTTTTTTCCTTTGAGGAGCTCAGAGATATTACTAATTTCTGTTATTTTTTCAGGTTATTATGTATTGTCCTGAATTTATTAACACTGTAGCTAAGAGGGAAACCAATAAATGTTGGACAGGGACTCATATCTACCTGTTTTTACTCAAATATTGTTCTTTATTTTTAAAGTTGAGTCCTTGTGTGTGTGTTTTCAGGATAGAAAAGGTTTTCTTTTATCTAAATGAACACATGTATAAATCATTAGTGTGTTATTTGTTTTCTTTTACTTGTAATTATTTTGTCAAGAAGTTAGTATGGTTCCGAAAAGCATAGGTTAGCACTCAGTATCCTACAATTTGGCCTGAAGCTATCTCTGTAATCTTATTTTTCTACTGTTTTTTGTTTCTTTAATCATTCTTCCAAAGTGACAGGCTTATCTTCCCCATTGTCCCTTTCCTTTGCTTATGCACCTTCTTTTTTTGTTTCCGATTTTTCCATTTCTGACTAGTAATGCTCTTCTGCCCATTGTCTCATTTAGAAATCTTCCCTGTTAAATATGGCACAGCTCACATCCCTCACCAAGTAGACACAGATTCTTCTTTATTTATATGACTTTCAATCTGTTCTACTGTTATGACACTTTATATTTTCTGTATTGGACCACATATAGCTATCATTTCTGTGAGGCTGTAAGCAGTTTGATAGGATCTGTGTGAGTGTATAGTCCTCATTACTGATCATTTAGCTTGTGCTTAAAAAAAAATAACTGCTAATTGAACAATTGAATGTTAGTTTATAAATATCTTCACTTACTGTAATGGTTCTTTCTACCCAATTATATTAATTCATAGCTGTATTAACTGTTTGGCTATCGAATCAACTTCAACTGTTTTATTTTGAAGGTGACCATGCATAAGTTTATTGAAATTATTTGATGCTTGTTTTTAACCTCTTTCTTCAAACTTTGTTTTGGGCAAATTACTTAGAATGTGGTTCTAGAAAGTTTTAATTAGTATTGGACTAGATATGTTGGCATTTTCAGACAAGCGTCCTCCCCCAACGGCCATTAGGAGAAATCAAATGTGGGATGGGAATAGTACTGAGAAGGTTACTTCTTAGGAGCTAACCATTTCCCTGAGAATCCTGAATCTCAGCCCAACATATGCTGATGGTTTGTGAGAGTCCTGTGCGGAGATCTGTGTGGGACTTTAATTGCCAGAGAACATGAAATGAGCTTTGAATGGCGGTGACTATGATGAGGGAGTGATCTTGTGTGTGAGGTTGGGCTGGCTGGCTCGCTACTGTTTGTTGCCTTTGTTGTATTCATTCAGTGAGACACTTTGAAGGATTGAGCTCCCGAGTGTTTATCCCCTTCTGGAAAGGACCAACAAGAGTAGGAAAACGAGAACCCCTACTTATCCTTGCTTTTCTCGGTAGACACTATTCATTTCTTTCTTTTTATCTTAAAAGGCTTTTTGGGTTTAACTGTTTCATACAGAGGTAGTAAAGTGGAATTTACAAGTGGTGGTTAATAGTGGAGTTTCTGAGTTTTGGTATGGTGTGAATAGGGAGCCCATAGGAAAGATCTGACATTTCTAGAGGAGGAAGATTGAACAGTAAAAACTACCTTGATATTTTAACTAATATTGCTAGGAACTGACTTGCGAGACATCTGGGGTGGGCTCTAGCAGAGGCTGTGTGTGGCATGACAGAGTCTCCTCTTTTCCCATGGGAGATGCTAAGACAGGCCCACTGTGATGTGCTGGTATCTAGTTCAGTGATGTTTTACTGACTAGTACTGTCTCTCTGCCTTGTTTTATAGACTAATCAAAAGGATGGATTTTACGGAGACTTACTCAAGCACATGCTCTACAGTTGGACTTGCTGCCAGAGAAGGCAACGTTAAAATTTTAAGGAAACTGCTCAAAAAAGGTCGAAGTGTAGATGTTGCTGATAACAGGGGATGGATGCCAATTCACGAAGCAGCTTATCACAACTCTGTGGAATGTTTGCAGATGTTACTTCATACAGGTAAAGTTTATGAAGGAAGGTATGTGGGACTGTGCATGTAAGCCAAAATAGTAAAATAAAAATATGGTAATAAGGGATAGCATTTGTTTCCTTTTCTATAATTCTAAAATAAGTACTTCTCCTATTAAGGATGGTAAGATTTCTGCCTTGGATCGTGTTCCATCTAGACATCTATGAATATTATCTTTTATATGGAAATGTTTGTACTTTATTTACTTATTTTACATTTGTTTATTGACATACTTATTTATGTAATTTGTATTTGTGGGGCATACACGTAGCATGTACCATGGTGTGCCTGTGGAGGTCAGAGGACAGCTTGAGGAATCCAGTTCTCCTCTTCCCTCACGTGGGGATTAAATTTAGGGCAGCAGGCTTGGTAGCCAGCACCCTTGCCCTCTGGTCCATGTCACCAACCCTTTGGTTTAATTTTGACTTTTTTTTTTTCTTTTGAGAAAAAGATCTTACTCTGTAGCTCTGGCTAGCCTGGTTCCCGTTATGTAGAGTAGGCTGGCCTGGAACTCAGAGATTCCTCCTGAGTGCTGTGATTAAAGGCATATACTGCCATGTTAGCCCCTTTATTTTAATTAATTGTGCTAGGTGATGCAGAGTAGATTGCTGTTTTAATTTCAGCATTTGAAAATTACTTAGAGTATGTACTCTTTTTGGTCTGGAAAAGGAAATAAAACAACAGGGACAATGCTACTAGTATTTTATTCAGACTAATCTTTTTAAAAATGAAAATATTGATATGTGTGAGTGTTTTTCCTGTATGTATGTATGTACACCACATGCATGCCTGGTGCCCTCTCTAGGAAGAAGAGGAGATTGAATCCCCTAGAACTGGAGTCAAAAATGGTTGTAAGCCACTGTGTTGGTGGTGGGAACCAAACCCTGGGTCCTCTTCAAGAGCGGTAACTTCTCTTAACCAGTGAGCCGTACCTCCAGCTCCTGATCTTTTTATTTTTAAAATACTTTTCATTGTCTTTACTTCTGAGAAATTTTCCAATTACTTGGACTTTATATTTGCAGTACACCATGGACCAGAGTGCCTGCCTTTATAGTACTTGTGTTAGGGAAGATAGATAAGAAACAGATTTAAAAAAAAAAAACCCCAATAAGCAGGAGTGTTTCATTTTTGAAAAGTAAAGCAGGAGTGGGATGAGAAGAGATGATGTGATGGTGCACATATTCTTATTACTGCATATGAAATGGTCAAAACCTCAACTGTACTGGGCAGCAGCCAGTGCTGCCAACCTGACTTCCTTCCCCAGGGACAGCCTGTGAAGTGTAAACAACACTCCACTGAGTAAAAAGTCTGTGCTGGAGAGAGGGGATGGAAGAGAACTCCTGGCGATGGGGTGCTGTGCTTTAGTTCATGTGCCAGATGCTTTACTTACATTATTTATCTGTTGTTAGAGGTCACATATAAACTTATTGTTAATAAGTTAATTCTACCCACTGAGCTAGAATAAGACCTCTACCACATTTTTTTGAGCCAAATTTGAAGCAAACTTTATTATATACTGAGCAGGATGATGGACACTGCTCAGGTTCATACCCAGGATTCCTGTGGAATGGCAATCACCTTAGTTTCAGTGTTTATAAAGGAAAAACTTAGAAGGCTATGTGCTTCCTTTGTCCAGTCGGGTGCAAACATCCATCCTGATGTACTTCCTGCCTAAGTACACAGGCAGTCAAGTCTCAGCCACAAGTGACTAAGCACCTCCTGTGCAGTTGGGGCAACCAATATTGTTTACAGAAGTGAAAATATGTGGCTTGTTATCTTACATCAACAACAGACCCCAGCATTCCAGGAAGTTATCTGCCCTTGCACAAGTGGGGCTTACAGGTTTATCTGTCCTTGGGCAAGTGGGGGCTAACAGGTTAGAGGCATTTTCTTTTCAAGATCTTTTAAGCACAGTAATTAAAACTTAAAACACAACTTTAACTCTCATATTAGCCCCCAAAGTTTTGCTTGGATTCAGAGAAGTTGACCTATCTAAGGTTAGTTATGTAAGAAACTAAGTTATTTGTTTGAACTAATTTCTGTCTGATTCTGATGTCCTTGTTTTTTCTTTTTCTACCATATCATCATTCTAACACTTAACAGAGTAGACATTAAAAGCATTTAGCTATTTTTTTTTTGAGACATGGTTTTAGTTAGGACCTTGCACTCTGATTCACTCTCTTTCCATTTCCCAGGTGCGGGAATTACAGGCCTGTGCCATCACATCAGGTGTATTGAGCTGCCTTCAAGTGAGAATGAGTGTAACTGTCCATGCCATAACACTTGCCTTATATTTCACAGATAATGGTACGCTTGTCAGAAGGTGTAGCTGCTTAGACCTCATTATTCTGGTTGCTTTAAACACCATCCTATTTGTTACACTTGAACTATTATCCCTTTGAAGCTCCTTGTTGTTTAACTGGTATATAGGAAAAATTCTTTATTATATAATTTCTACTTCCATGACCAACTTACTTTTGTCTTTTTAAATGACTATTTTCTTATTTTATGCATATGGGTGTTTTGTCTGCAGGTATATTTGGATACCACATGTATCCCTGTTGCCTGAGAAGGCTGGAAGAGGGTGTTGAATCTCCTGGCACTAGAATTTTAGACAGCTGTGAGCCTCTATATGGTTGCTGGGAATCAACTCTTTTTTTCTGCAAGAACAGTCAGTGTCCTTAACTGCTGAGTCAAGTCTCCAGCCTCTTTTGTCTTTTAAAAATTAACCAGGGTGTGGTGGTATGTGCCCTTAATTGCAGCATTCAAGAGTCAGAGGTGTGGATTTTATGAGTTATGTAGTATAAGCTGGTCTCAAACAAACAAGCAGACAGACAAACAGATAAACCCCCAAACAAACCACCACCACCATCAAAAGAAAATTATCTAAAGTACATTATATATATATCTATATATATATCTCACATCCGTCTATCATCTGTTATCTACCTACCATCTATTACCCATCTGTCTGTCTGTCTTTCTATCTATCTATTTTATAGTTTGTAGTGAGGAGCTGCGGGCAGGCCTGCTTTTCGTCCCACCCTGCTCCCGCATGGCTAGCTTAGCCCCAGAAATAACAACACACAAGTTGTATTCATTTAAACACTGCCTGGCCCATTATCTCTAGAGAGTTAGTTACTGGCTAACTCTCACACCTTGGTTAACCCATTTCTAATAGTCTGTGTAGCACCACAAGGTGGTGGCTTACCGGGAAAGATTCAGCATGTCTGACCTGGTGGCTGGCTCCATGGCGTCTGCCTCATTGCCTTCTTCCCAGCATTCTGTTCTGTTTACTCCGCCTACCTAATTTTGTCCTATCAAAGGGCCAAGGCAGTCTCTTTATTAACCAATGAAAATAACACATAACAGAAAGCCCACCTACATCAATAGTTTACTTGAAAAAGTCTGAACTTTTTTAGATGGATGCATGAGAAGTAGTCATTTTCTCACCAAACCTGGCGATTGCTGATTAAGCTTGAGTGGATAGCCAGTGAGCCCAGGGACCTTCCTGTCTTTGCCTTCATGTGCTGGAATTACAGGTTTGTACTGTGGCACCCAACTTTTTATTCTTTTTGGTGTGTGTGTGTGTGTGTGGTGTGTTGTTAAAGCATTCAGAATCTTTTTAAGATTTTCTTTTTATTTATATATAAGTATGTGTGTCTGTGAGTGGATGTCACATGTGCACAGATTTCAGTGAGTCTTGGAGAGGGTATCAGATCCCTTGAAGCTGGAGTTTCAGGTAATTATTAGCTGACTGACTTGTGTGTGTGTCTGTGTGGGGTACAGTGTCCACAGGAGACAGGAGAAAGCACTGAGTTTCCTGGCGCTGAAGTCACAGGTGCTGGTGTGCTGCCTGATGTAGACACTAGGAACTAAACTCAGATCCTTTGCACAGCAGTGTGCTCTCAACCTCTGAGCCAGCTGTCTAGCCTCTGCACTTTAATTTTTGAGGTAGAGTCTCTCACTGAACTTGGAGCTTACTGATTAGGCTAGGCTGTCTGATCAGTGAACTTAAGGGATCATGCTGTGGGAACAGGGAGACATCAGTGCTGGGATTCCAGATTTGGTCTGCATGTTTGTGTAGCAGACACTTTTACTGTCTGACCCATGTCCACAGTGCCAGCATGGCCTACTTTAAGCTTACTATAAGTGACTGAGGCCCAGGGATATGGATTTAAGTTGTACCCAGTAACATGTTTCAACATGAAAGTGGTTTCATGTTAAGATTAAAGACTCTATGAGGTCGATGGACTGATTACACATTGTGATTGTGGAGTGTTGGAATGTTGCAGGTGAAGAGTCCAAATGACCTAGGGCCGTCTGTAGTCTTTTTAATAATATCCATCTCTCAATCCCCCATATCTGTATCTCAGCTAACATCCTTTTAGCTATTGGAAACAAAGTTTTGGAGTCTATTAATATAGTAGACTGCTAATTTCCAGCAACCCAAAGCTAAGAATGTTATCAGTTAACATATAAAACCTGTACCTCAGTATTTTCCATCTTGCTGTAATCCAAATATCTGATGTTTCCACCAATATATTTGGAAAATGTCTTCATGTATAATATGCTTTTGGTCTGTGAATATAAAAGTTCATTTAACCGCTTCTCCATTGGAACAAAGCAACCTGAACCCGTGTTTCCATGTTATCTCTTATTCTCTTTGGTGTAAGATATGTGCTTTGCATTGCTAAAGTTTGATAATGTAATCTCCTTGACACAGTCTTGGCCCATCTTGGTGATAGGTACTTTTGAGATTTGGCCTCATCAAATTTAGCTTAATTATTAAGATATGGTTCTGTTCTTAATTTTTAATCCATTTCTAACAAGAATCATGTAGTTTTGGTTTTTCTCTTAGTGGTCAGTAAAACCCAAAATTACAGCTTCCTACCATTACTGTTAAAAGCAATAAGTTAGCTTATTATCTACAAGTAAAAGTATACTTTGTGCCAGCAGATGTAGGGTGTGGTGTCATTGGAGAGTGTTTGTCACAGATGGCTGACACAGGCCCAGCTCACAGAGTCCCAACTCTCAAGTAAAATGAAGAACTTACAAGGATTTTGGAAGACCTTTGTGATCACAATGCTTGTCTGTTTGGAAGTCTTTCATGCCTACTTTGTTTAAAGTTTACTAAGTAGATGAGGTGCAGAAACCACTCTGTCTTCAATGAAAAAATAAACAGAGGCTGAGGCATTCATTAAAAACTGAGCCATTTTCTTCAAGTAGCCCTCTGTCAGGAAAGGAAGAAAGTCGGATGATAGTTGATGGCCTAGTTAGTACAAAACTAAAAGGTCCCTTTGGTAAAATTCACAAATTGATGTAAGGGAACCAGTTAATTATTGGAACTTCAACCAATTTAGATTGTTTTGAAACTCCCCCATCTCTCTAGAGTCTACTCTATAGCCTAGGCTAGTCTTGAACTCATTGGCCTCTTGTTTTAGCCTACCTACTGCTGGAATTGCAAGTGTGCAGCCTTGGGCCTGGCTGAACCCTTGTTTTAGTTATTGTCATTAAGTGTGTTTGTGTATTCACATGTTTGCATGTGTTTGTATGATGTATGTTTGAGAGGGTGAGTATGCCATGGTGCATGCATGTCAGTGGACAACTTTGTGGACTTAGTTTTCTCTTTCCACCTCTATGTGGGTTCCCATGATTGACCTTAGGTTACCAAGATTATGGCAATTGCTTTTGCCCACTGAGCCATCTCACTGCAAATCTTAAAATAATACTTTGGAAATTTAACTAAATTTATAGCAGCTCCTTCAGTACATAAATGATCACACATCACCTGTATTTATTGTTTTATAGAATTCAAAGTATAATCATAATTCCATTGAATCCCACGAAAATTAGTTTAGCTAAATGTTTATTCTTGTTTCATGGTTATCGGACCTGAACTATATAAAGTTTAAGTAGCTTGCCTAAAGTATAATCCAAATTATAACTAGAAAAGTCAGAATTGTAGCCTAACTCTTCTAATTCTAAATCTTCTAACCCTGAATGTTAACTTCTTGAAATAGTGTTTTTGTTTGTTTTTAATTAAAATCTTTATCCAAGTCATTGTCCAAACAGAATTTTCTACAGTGTTTTACCTAGTTCACATAAGGCACATCACATGCTGATACTGTCTGGTTGCCAAGGGCACTCCACTCTGTACAAGCTTGCTCCCCCTCTTTCATTCTGCTAACAGGACAGTAACTCAAGGTGCAAAGTGAATGACATAGCACTAAGGGAGCTTGTTCTATGAGCTACATTACTAACCCCCTAACAGAAGTTTTGTCTCTTTTTGATTGAATGTGTATTAATGCAAATCTTACTGGTGGTTTACATTTAAGAGATGGGAATTAAGCTCTATTTCCTTGATGGTATGAATCTCTACATAAAGTATTATTTTCCCTCCATAGTGCTGGGGCTTGGCCCAAGATTTTGTACATGCTAGTCCAGTGCCCTACCAATGGAACTAAACCTCTAACCCTTGAATTTTTGTTGCTATTATTGTTATAATTATGATTATGATGGCCTGTCCGGTTATCTGGGCACCCTGTCACTTTAAGAGACAAGCTCCACTCACTCCCAGTATCTCCCTTCCCACCAAGGCAAGCTGATTTTGCATCATCTCCCCTTCTCTCTCTATCTGTTCTTCAGAAAAGGCAGTCTCTGCCTCCCCCCCCCAGCTGCTCCTCTTTTTCTTCTCCCCATACTCCCTACCCTCTCATACCCTACTCTCCCATACCCTCCCAATACCCACTAAATAAACTCTTCATACCCAAGCTCTCTCTGCATGGTAGGTCTGTCTCTCTCCCACCCTCCATATCTTCTCCCACCTGCATTGGGGCCTGCCAGGGTGACTCTTGCCTAAAATTGTAAATCTCACGGCACCAATGAAAGATTTATAGATCTAGTGACCCTGGCACGTCCCACAGAGGATGGGAGACAGGCAGATATGCCATGCAGAGAGAACTTGGTTATGGAGAGTTTTTTTTAGCCGTATTGGAAGGGTCTGCAAAGTAAGGGATATGTGGGGGTGGGAGCTAGAGGGACAGAGAGAGAGGAAGGGGTGGGGGAAGAACGGAGACAGAGGCTGCCTCTTCAGAAGAATGGACAAAGAAGGAAGGAAGAGAGAATGGAGACTCCCTTGGCCAAAAGGGGGAGATTATAAGTGATCAGAGCTTGTCTCTTAAAGGGACAGGGCACCCAGATGACAGAGCAGGCCAGCATAATTATAACAATTATTGTTTGGGGGAAATTTAGCTCTTCTTTCTCATTGTTCATTCATTCATTCATTGATCCATTTGTATCTATATGGATTTAGGGATATTTTATATTTTGGGTCATAACCTTATACAATATTATTATTGTTGTTTTAAATAGTTTTGTCTAGATAGGCTTCTATGTCTTTTTGACCTTTTTTTTTTCCTGAGTACTTTATTTTACTTTGGGACCCTATAAATATGCTGCAGTTTTATGTATTTGTAGACTCAACGCTGGAATCAGCCATTTTTATTTGATTTCTTTTACTGGAGAATGATAATTAAAACTAAGATCTAGAGGCTGAATACCACTGGTGTGTGACTGATCTTCAGTTCATTCAGTAGAAAGAACTAGAAAATGTATTTATGGATTATATGTGTACACTATAGTTATTTCTATATATGTATATATTAGGTTAGTACTTTTAGCTGATTCCGTACTGATGTCTGTAATCTAGATTTGCATTCTAGATTCATTCTGGCTTACCCGGTTGCTTATATGTACCCTCTCTCTCCAGCAAATTTGTAGTACATTGTTTGATGTAGTCTGTGCTTAAAATAGTTTTAGAATTATTCATTTCTATCTTGTCAAAAGACCCAATCCCTTATCAACTACAATATAGTGTTTATGTATGGTTCTGAGTCATTTGTAGTCAAAACAACATTTTCAAAATTTTGTAGGGCATCATTTTGTCTGTTCCTTCTTAGAGAGTTTATGATATATTCTGAAATACAATTAGATTCATCTGTCACAGTCCATATTCTGTTTTTTGGGTTCCCCTTCCTCTTCCTTCATGGTCGATTTTTTTTTTTTTTAAAAAGAGGACTTCATCAATATGGCCTTATGAGTTAAGATGCTTTGCTGTCAAGTCTGATGAGCTTTTGGACCCCTGACTTGCACAAGTTGTCCTTTGATCTCTTCCACATGTGTACTATGACATATGAATGTACACGTATGCATGCATGCAAATGAATAAGTGAATGTTATAATGTAAAATATTTAAATGACTAGATTAAGAATACTACTGGCTGGTTTTGTGTGTCAATTTGACACAAGCTAGAGTCATCAGAGAGGAAGGACCCTCAGTTAATGAAATGTCCCCATGAGATCCAGCTCAAAGGCATTTTCTCAACTAGTGATCAGTGGGGGAGGGCCCAGACCATGGTAGGAGGTGACATGCCTGGGGTGTTGGTGCTGGGTTCTATGAGAAAGTAGGGTGATCAAGACATGGGAAGCAAGCCAGTAAGCAGCACCTCTTCATGGCCTCTGCATCAGCTCCTATCTCCTGGATTCTGCCCTGTTTGAGTTCCTATCCTGACTTCCTTCAATGATGAACAGAAATGTGGAAACGTAAGCCAGATAAACCCTTTCCTTCCCAACTGACTTTGGTCCTGGTGTTTTGTCACAGCAGTAGAAGCTCTAGCTAAGACCAGCTGGTACCAGCAGTAGAGTATTGCCTCGAAAACCAAACCATGCTTTCTTTTGAAGGACCCCAACTTCATTGGGGTCACAGTTAGAACTGTGGTTCTAACCTTAACCACAGTTATAACGCTCTGCAAAGGTTTTCAGATAGCAAGCTTCATTAAGGCCTCCGGAGTCAGGACCTCCAGAGTGCTGAACAAATAACAGGCTTAATTCAAGACCTCCAGAATGCTAAAGCAAAGACACCTGAGATTAGAACGAGGACAGCCTTATCTGGCAGCAGGACAGGAGATTTATGAACTGACATAAGTAGGAACAAAGACTTCAAGGGAGGAAGAGAGGATTGCGAGGCCTGAGTCACGTACAGAGCAAGGCTCGTCACAAGCCAGGGGCTGTGCAAATCAGACATCGAGTCGCCAGCCAAGCTAGGAAGGCAGGAAGAGATAAGAAAAACAGGTAGCACAACCCCCTCCTTGGTATCCAGGTGGGTCTGGACAACCCCCTCCTTGGTATTTAGGTAAAAGGTCAAGAATGTGCCACTCAGCTTAGCCTTATTTGAACTGACCAATGAAATGAAAGCTTTTCTGCTTCTGTACCCGCGCTTTTGCTCCCCTATAAAAACCCCTCATCCCCAACCTGCAGGCGCGCAAAGTCCCCGAGAGGCTTTGTCGCCCGCAGGTACCTGTGTACCCCAAATAAACCTCTTGCTGCTTGCATCCGGCTGCGTGCTTTGACTGGTCTTTGGGCTTGGGGTCTCTCCCGAGGGAAGACGCCCAGCGGGGAGTCTTTCACTTTGAAGGAATATGGACCTTGGGGCTGAGGATTAACAAAGCGGTTAAACTCTTTTTTTTTTCCTTTATTTTATTTTTTTAAAACTATCTTTTTTTTGAAAGTAATTTTATTAAATTATAAAAGTTTCCATTTCCGCCCCTCTTCCCAACACCCTCCCACTCCCCCAACTCCATCTCCTCCTCCCTCTTCGTCCCTTAGGGCAGTCAGGGTTTCCTGCCCTGTGGGAAGTTCAAGTTCCTCCCCCCCCTCCCTCCAGGTCCAAACAGACTGGATCCCCAAAATCCAGTATATGCAGAGGAAACAAGTCCCAGTGTCATAGTCAATGGCTTTTCAGAAAGACTTCGGGCCAACCACAGTCAGAGAATCCGGCCAAATTCCGAGAATCTGGTTAGATCACGTCCTCGTTCAGTCCCAGTCCAACTGGCTTTGGTAAACTCTCATTAGATCCGTCCCCTTGTATCAGTGGGTGATAGCATCCCTCGCAGTCACTATTTCCTTTTTCATTTTCTTTCTTTTTTTTTTTAAAAAGAGAGATTTTATTTATTATGTATACAGTGTTTTGTCTACAAAGCGGTTAAACTCTTTAAATGCTGCTCAATAGGCCTTACTAATAGGGGCTTGGAAGAGAGTGGTACTGAGTGTGATTTGATGAACTATGGCGGCCTTGCTCCAGAGGTTGCAGAGGAGAATTCTGGTATGTGGTAGCGCTAGAGATCGTTCTTGATGTTTTGGTGAAGAATGGGGCTACTTTTTTGCCCTTGTTCCAAGGGTCTGCCTGAGGCTAAAGTAAAGAGTTTTGAATTAGTTACGCTGGCAGAAGAAATCTCAAAAACAGCCTAGTATAGACTCTGTCATGTGATTATTAGTGGAAACTTTTATGAAGATTTATAATGTAAAGGAGTGAGCTGAACACGGAGATAAATAGATAAGAAATGGAATAAACAGAGTGGTGACCTCAGGGCAAGATCCCACCCAGCTAAATTTCCAATTTGTCTAAAGAAATTAAAGAAAAGCTTAGAACTGGGTGTGGTGATTCACACCTTAATACCAGCATTTGGAAAGGAGACTGGCAGTTCTCTGACTTTGAGGCCACTCTGGTCTACAGATCAAGTTTCAAAATTTCCAAGCTTAGGCAGCGAAGGTAACCGTCGAAAAAAGAAAGTTGGTGAAGATATAATTAAAAAGAAGGAACCAATAAGCAGCAGAACTTGGCATCTTTGGACTGGAATTTGTCTCAGTGACTAAGGAAAGTTGTTTGAACCTCAGGTGACTCATTCAAGAGATTTCAGCAAAGAATTCTAGTATGTTGCCTAGAGATCACTCTTGTGCGGCATTTTGGTGAAGAAAGTGGTCATTTTTGCCCTTATCTGAAGAGTATGCCTGAGGCAAAAGTGAAGAGTTTTATATTAATTACATTATGTCCTGCCCTACCTTCTCGCCAGCAAGAACGAAGCGGGGCACTTAGGATTCTTCTGCAGTAAAGCTTTAATGCGTCTTGAGAGGGAGAGCATCAGCTTCCAAAGCAGAGACCCAGAATGAGGGGAACCCAGCCCTTATAAAGGAAACAGTCCTCGCTTCTGATGTGTCACTCTTGGATTGGTCCGCTGCCCATTATCCCAGATGATGCCTCGGAAGCAGGCAGGGACGCAGCAGTAGTAAATTACCAAGCACATGCACTGGGATTAAAGGCGTGTGCTACAACACCTTGAACTCACAGAGGTCTGCCTGTTTCTGCCTCCCAAGCATTGGGACCAAAGGTGTGTACTACCATACCTTGAGGTCACAGAGGTCAATCTGCCTCTGCCTCCCAGGCATCAGGACTAAAGGCCAGTACCACCACACCTTGAGGTCACAGCGGTCAATCTCTACCTTTGTCCCATGAAGCAATGGAGAATGTGGTTGCGGCCCTCCACAACATTATCAGAGGAAATCTCTAAACAGTCTAATAGACTTTGTTTTTTGATATTGAAGATTTATAATAAAAAAGGAGCAGGCTGAAAAGGGTAAATTACAAATTGTAAAATTTAAGGAGTAAAGGAACACCAAAAAGTGGAATAAAACTAAATCCTGTGTTGAAGGAGGTAAACAGAAATGGAATAGAGGAGCTCAGGGCCAGACCCCACCAGCTAAGTTTCCAACTTGTGAAAAAGAACTAAAGAAAAACTGAGAGCCGAGTAGCGGTGCACAGCTTGAATCCCAGTACTGGGAAGGCAGAGGCTGTGGATCTCTGAGTCAGAGGCCAACCAGGTCTGGAGATCCAATTTTAGTACAGCCAGCTTAGACAGTGAAGGATAGAAAGATGTAATTGTATGAATGAGGGTGCCATGTTCTAGCCCCAGCAGGCAGCTGAACTTGGCAGCTTCGGCCACTTGTCTCTGAATTTAAGGATAGAAGAAAGGGGTTTTAGAATTTGTCCTTGAGACTAAGGTAAACAAACCCCCAAGGCTAGACACGTGTCAGAGGTGTTCCTGACTGGAGGCCTAGAAAGACCTTGCTTGAAGCTGTAAAGGTGAGGCCTGGATTTGCCTTGGCACTTTCTCTGAAATGCTGCTGAATCTCTCAGTAAATTGACTTGATTGAGGATTCAATTCAGATAACCTCTGGAATACTGTTTCTGTGATAAGTCACTTTTTTTTTTTTGGTTTTTTGAGACAGGGTTTCTCTGTGGCATTGGAGCTTGTCCTGGAACTAGCTCTTGTAGACCAGGCTGGCCTTGAACTCATAGAGATCTGCCTGCCTCTGACTCCTGAGTACTGGGATTAAAGGCATGCGCCACTACTGCCTGGCTGATAGGGCACTTTTTAAAAGTTTTTTATTGAGCTCTGCATTTTTCTCTGCTCCTCTCGCTGCCTCTCCTCTCGCCTTCAACCCCAAGGTCCCCATGTTCCCAATTTACTCAGGAGATCTTGTCTTTTTCTACGTTCTACTTCCCATGTACATTAGATCTATGTATGTCTCTCTTAGGTTCCTCATTGTTGTCTAGGTTCTCTGGGATTGTGATTTGTGGACTGGTTTTCTTTGCTTTCCTAAGTTTCTTTCAGGCATTTTAGATTTTTCTGTTGAGAGTTCTCTGTTTAGGTCTGTACACCACTTTTTTTTTATTGGTTTATTTGTTCTTTTTGATGACCAATTTCCTGAGTTCTTCATATATTTTGGAGATCAGACGTCTGTCTGATGTGGGGTTAGTGAAGATCTTTTCCCATTCTGTAGGCTATCTTTTTGTCTTGTTGACCGTGTCCTTTGCTTTACAGAAAGAAGCTTTTCAGTTTCAGGAGGTCCATTTATTGTTTCTCTCAGTGTCTGCTGGAGTTATATTTAGGAAGTGGTTCCTTGTGCCAATGTGTTCAAGTCTACTTCCCATTTTCTCTTCCATAAGGTTTAGTGTGGCTGGCTTTATGTTGAGGTCTTTGATCCATTGGGACTTGAGTTTTGTGCATGGTGATAGATATGGGTCTATTTTCATTTTTCTACATGTTGATATCCAGTTATGCCAGCACCATTTGTTAAACATGCTTTTTTTTTCCACTTGACGTTTTTTGCTTCTTTGTTAAAAATCAGGTGTTTGAAGGCGTGTGGATTAATATCCAGGTCTTTTATTTGGTTCCATTGATCCTCTTGTCTGTTTTTATGCCAATACCAGGCTGTTTTCCATACTGTAGCTCTGTAGAGTTTGAAGTCAGGGATTGTGATGCCTCCAGAAGTTCTTTTATTGTGTAGGATTGTTTTGACTATCCTGGGATTTTTGCTTTTCCATATGAAATTGAGTACCGTTCTTTTGAGGTGTGTGAAGAATTTTTCTGGGATTTTGATGGGCATTGCATTGAATCTGTAGATTGCTTTTGGTAAGATTGGATAAGGCACTTTTAAAGTGAATACCCATATACCCATTTTTGTGTATATTCTGTGAAGTGTGAGGCTTTTTGTCAGTACTTGCAACTGTGTTTTGGATATTCAAACATAGACTGCCTACTCATTACTGTGAGCTGTAGTTCTAAGAATTACTTAAAATATATGACTAGTTTTGTCAGGAAAGTTAATTTCAATTCTATTAATTCAAGAACATGGCTTTTAGAAGTCCTTTGTTTATTTTGCTTATTCCTACTTTCATAAGTGCCTTCATCATTTACTTTTGAATCTTCTGGGCTCAGAATTATTTTGTATATTGAAACAGAGGCAAAAAGAACCTCTTAATGTTATTCTGTGCATTTTAAGATACTATGTTGCATGGAGAGGAGGACCCTTTGTTTGTCCTGGCTGCCCGGCTAGCTTACACCCGAAATAATCACACAGAAACTGTATTCATTTAAAGACTGCCTGGACCATTAGCTCTAACTTCTTATTGGCTAACTCTCACATATTAGTTTAACCCATCTCCATTATTGTGTATTGCCACCTGACTGTGGCTTACGGCCAAGATTCTAACTAGCATCCGTCTCAGGCAGGATATCCATGGCCTCTGCCACTCTGCCATTCTTCCCAGCGTTCAGTTCTGCCTATTCTGCCTACCTAAGTTCTGTCCTAGCACCTAGGCCAAAGCAGTTTCTTTATTCAACCAATGAAAGCAACACATAAACAGAAGGACCTCCTACACCAATACTATAAACATTATTTACATAATTTGAATGTTACCAGAACCTTGAGTTTTTTTTAATTAAATGTTATTTAATTATGATTCATTGTTTTCTTTTTTAATTAAAAATTTCCACTTCCTCCCCTCCTCCCATGTCCTTCCCCCTCCCCCCATTCCCCCTTTCCCTTCCTCTCCCACTCCAGTCCAAAGAGCAGTCAGAGTTCCCTGCCCTGTGGGAAGTCCAAGGTACTCCCCTTTCCATCCAGGTCTAGGAAGGTGAGCATCCAAGCAGACTAGGCTCCCACAAAGCCAGTACATGCAGTAGAATCAAAACCCTGTGTCATTGTCCTTGGCTTCTCAGTCAGCCCTCATTGTCAGCCATATTCAGAGAGTATGGTTTAATCACATGCTCATTCAGTCCCAGTCCTACTGGTCTTGGTGAGCTCCCATTAGATCAGTCCCACTGTCTCCATTGGTGAACGCATCCCTCATGGTCCTGACTTCCTTGCTCATGTTCTCCCTCCTTATGATCTTAATTTGGACCTTGGGAGCTCAGTTCACTGCTCCAATGTGGTTCTCTGTCTCTATCTCCATCCATCGCCAGATGAACGGTCTATGGCGATATGCAAGATATTCATCAGTGTGGCTGTGGAATAAGGCCAGTTCAGGCACCCTCTCCTCTGCTGCCCAAGGAACAAGCTGGGGACATCTCCTTGGACACCTGGGAACCCCTCTAGACTCAAGTCTCTTGCCAACCCTAAAATGACTCCTTTAAGATATATACTTCCCTGCTCCCATATCCACCCTTCCCCCATCCCAACTGTCCGATTCCCCCAAGCTCTACCCATCCTCCCCTTCTCTCTTCTCTCTCACCATCTCCCCAACCCCTACCCCACCCCCACCCCCAAGCTTCCAATTTTTGCCCGGGAATCTTGTCTACTTCCATTATCCAGGAGATAACTATATGTTTTTCTTTGGGTTCACCTTCTTATTTAGCTTCCTTAAAATCACGAATAGTAGGCTCAATGTCCTTTATTTATGGCTAGAATCCACTTATGAGTGAGTACATACCGTATTCATCTTTTTGGATCTGGGTTACCTCACTCGGGATACTGTTTTCTATT